GAAGTAGAAGCCTTCAGTATTCATGTGACCTCAGTGGATAGAAACATAAAGTTTACCAGGGAAAATACAAAGATTAATAGTTTGCTATTTCTGGCTGTGTGCATTTAGGAGGATGGAAGCCTCAAAATTGTAGTTTACTGAAAACACACACACACACCAGTAGCTACTCTTTGACTCCCACCACCTACTGAAATGTGAACTTGGGGTGATCAGGAACCTGCAACACCAGGCAGAAAGTGTTCCCTCTTATCTAGAAAGGGAAACAATGGAACACATGCAAGTAAAAAAAACTCCCAAAAAATGTGGTTACTCCAACTGGTCCTTCATCAAATCAGCAAAGATGCACGAAAATAAGGTGAGAAACCAACAAGGGAGAAACAGAATGAGGGAGAAATGGAACCACATTGTCATCACTTATGTAGCAGGTCTATCAGAGGAACTATCAAAGCATGATATTCCAGTGCACCTGAAACCTCTGGTTGTAGTGAGCCACACCTTTTGTCAAACCTTGGCTCATGTATGGGATAAAACCTGCTAGCATTTAAATACCCGAAGAAGCCTCCTGGATGAGACCTTAACCCTCTTTAAAAAACCTAAAGAAGTCCAGTTACCTTCTTTTCAAGCTCTAAAGCCTCACTGTAGCAGGCTTCAATGACACTGAAGGGAACTTTCTTAGACATTTTCTTACAGTTTAAATGGAACAATGAGTCAAGTTTACAAATTGACTGGTGAATCTTAGGAATATATTTTCTCCAAAATTATTAAAATATTCAAATGAATTGGACTCTTTAAATGTCGTGTATGTTGATTAATGTGTTTGAGTGAAAAGCATGTCTGTTTCTGTCTCCTCAGTGTTTGACTGGGTAGAGCAATACGCCCCTGGGTTTAAAAAGTCCGTGGTGGGCAGGGACATCCTGGCCCCTCCTGACCTGGAGAGGATCTTTGGGCTCACTGGAGGGGTAGATACTATGCACTGTGGATGCTGTAGCACTGAGCAACACTTTGAATGTTGACACGCCACTTATTTGTTTGACACAGTCAGCTGTTCACTGGATGAGGAAGTCATTTGCATTATTTTCAGTGTTCAGTCACTAACTGCCTACTTTGAGACGTGGCTGTTGTATAAGCAGTTAATGGTGACAGGCAGCTTTATTACAGCACGAGCCAGAATCAAAGTTCACACACTGTGTGACACTTAATCGCTTAACTGCATTTGCTTCTGCCTCCTTTGTATGAAGAAAACAGTAAATAACCACAAGGGAGGCTATTTTTCTACTTATAGCCCTGGAAGGAAAAACAAAAGGGGAATTTAAACTTTTGGTCTTGTTTTTACAGAATATCTTCCATGGATCAATGTCACTGGACCAGCTCTACTTAACACGACCCTTGCCCTCTCTCGCAGACTACCGCTCACCAATTAAAGGGCTCTATCTGTGTGGCAGTGGCTGTCATCCAGGTTTGCTTTTAATGCTCAGCTGAACGCAGAATTGCAAATAAGGCTGTTTATTATGTTGTACAGTAATAATACAATGTTAGCTGGTCTTAGAGAGCACACTTAATGAACCTTTGATCTTAAGATGTGCCCATGCCTTCACTGCTGATGATAAATGACGGCCAGGATGGCTAATTTTTCCATGTCGATATGTCATTTTTAGGTGGGGGTGTGATGGGTTCCCCTGGCTGGAATGCAGCCCTTACCGTCATCGCTGACTTGAAACGTCGCTGAGGGCATTATCAGATAACATTATCAATGTGTGGTCCGCTTATCTATGCACTACATTTCTTTAGAGTGAATGTGACTAGCTTGAAAAAATCAATGTCATATTACAACAAAAACCAGCCACTTGTTAGATTAACTTATGATTAGATCATTATGATTTAATAGTTAAATGACTGACGTAATAATACAAATGACATGGGATTAAAAATGACAAGTAGAGCGCAATAAAACAGGTCTGGACAGGAAGGCCACGTGAAAGGTTTACCAGTGGAAAAACACAAAATCAACACCAACCTGTGAGCCACCGGAAAATTACTGATGCCACCAAAGCAAACTGAATGCAAACGTATTATTAGAAAAACTAATTCTTGTTTTAATTAAATTAACAAAAACTGTGAAGTGATGATAGTCATGCACAAAGGAACATTTTACTACTCTATTTGAATACTTTTAAATAAACTGAAGCCATGTCTAATTTCCTTTAAACCATGTATGATTGTTTGTTTCTTATGTTGCATTTATTTCACTTGGGGCTGATGTCACAGCTTAGAGTGTCATGATACTAAAACATAGGTGTTTTCCAAAAGAAATAGCTTGAAGCAATTGTATTTTACCCACATTATAATATACAATTCTGTTTTAATAATTTTCTGTTGTGAGACATGCCCTGTCCTGTCCTGAAATTAATGGTGGATAACTCACAAAATGTGACCTAATCGGTTTTAAATTCAATCTTTTACTATGTATCTTTTGTTGGTTATTAAAATCATTTTAACAGCTTAGAAATATCTTAAAACCTTATTAATGCAAATTAAAGTTGATTTTTCTTTTCCACACCCTGAAAGGATATTCTTGGGGGATACAGGAAATACAGGATACAGGAAAAGAAGGCCGTCGCTTCCCTGAGCAAAGACCACAACATCACTGTTTTACCAGCTGATAAGGGGAGATGCACCGTGGTCCTAAACACTACAGATTACCATACAAAGATCACTACTCTCCTCAGTGACAACAATACCTACGAAGCCTTAAAGCGAGACCCCACAAGCAGCTACAAAAAGAAAGTTATAGCTTGCCTTCAAGACTTTGAAAAGGACAAAATTATTGACCGCCTTACATATCACCGCCTTTACCCAGGGGATGCATCTATGGACTTCCTAAAATCCACAAGGAAGCTGTCCCACTCAGACCCATAGTCAGTAGCATAAACTCAGCCACTTATAACATTGCTAAACACCTTGCTACCATCCTTGCTCCTCTCGTGGGGAACACCCCACACCACATCAAGAACTCCACCGACTTCACCGACAAGGTCCAGAAACTTACCCTGGATCTAGATGAAACCATGGTGTCCTTTGATGTAGTCTCTCTCTTCACTTGCATACCCACCACGGAGGCCGTGGAGACTGTCAGAAAACGACTACAAGAAGACAGCTCCTTGGAGGACAGGACCAACTTCACACCCGATCAGATCTGCACACTGTTAGACCTCTGCCTCACCACTACATATTTCAAATACAACGAAGGCTTTTACAGACAAAAACATGGCTGTGCCATGGGCTCCCCCGTGTCACCTATTGTAGCCAACCTTTACATGGAGGAAGTGGAAAGGAAGGCTCTTGGCTCTTTCAAAGGAAGAGTACCCAGCCACTGGTACAGATATATGGACGACACCTGGGTCAAAATCAAGACACAAGAAGTGGAATCCTTCACTGCGCACATTAACGCTGTGGATAAAAACATCAAGTTCACCAGGGAAGACACAAAGGACAACTGTTTGCCTTTCCTGGACTGCGCTGTGCACATTGACGAGAACGGCAAACTCAACATCGAAGTTTACCGGAAGCCCACACACACGGACCAGTACCTCCTCTTTGACTCCCATCACCCTTTGGAACACAAACTTGGAGTAATTAGGACCCTACACCACCGGGCAGAACATGTTCCCTCTAAGCCTGAAGGAAAAAAGAAGGAACACACACATGTAAAGGAAGCACTCAAAACGTGCGGCTATCCTAAATGGGCGTTCTTAAAGTCAGCAAAGAGGCACAGAAAAGAAGACCAGACACCAGCGAGGGAGGACAGACGCAACAACATTGTCATCCCCTATGTAGCCGGTGTATCAGAGAAACTCAGGAGAGTTTTCTCCAAGCACGACATCCCAGTGTATTTCAGACCCAGCAACACGCTCAGACAAAAACTGGTTCACCCGAAAGACAAAACGCCAAAACACAAACTTAACAATGTGGTGTATGCTGTACAGTGCAGCGAGGAATGCTCAGACCTCTACATTGGAGAGACCAAACAGCCACTTCACAAGCGCATGGCACAACACAGAAGAGCCACCTCCACAGGACAAGACTCAGCAGTCCATCTGCATCTTAAGGATAAAGGACACTCTTTCGAGGATGCCAATGTTCACATTTTGGACAGAGAGGACAGATGGTTTGAAAGAGGAGTGAAAGAAGCCATCTATGTCCACTGTGAGCGACCATCTTTGAACAGAGGCGGGGGTTTACGACACCAACTCTCTGCCATCTATAATCCAGTTTTGAGATCCCTTCCCAGACGACTTAACGCCCACTCACATCCTGGGCCATCTGACCTCAGGAATTCGCATGATAAGGTGGGGCCAGGTTTCACAATGAACACACCTGAAACTCTGGCTGATTGGGACCCACACCCAGTTTCACACCTTGGCTCAGGCGATTAGAGGAGCATCAGGGGGTGCTTTTGTCCCTCTGTGGGGGGAAACTCCCACTAGGTTTATATCTGGGACTCTCCACCATTTGACCTTAGAACTGAAGAAGCTTCTCGGATGAGAGGTGAAACGTCTTCAAGTAACTTAAAGAAGTCCAGACGCTTTTCTTTGCAAGCTCCTTTGACTACGATGACCTGGATGACTGAGAACCTTCACAGACATCTTGGGGGTTTTCTTCTTCTTCTTCTTTTTTAAAAAATACATCCATTTACACTGAGATTATATTACAGCATGAGTGAGCTATTAACTAATAATTTTTTTAAATAATTAATTTATCACAACTGCCCCAATAAATTAACAATGACATAAAATTAATATTCAACAGGAGTGAAATCAACTTATTAGTTTCGCGTGTGGCTCTTTGGGAAAGTTGTGTTAGTGGATAGTAAATGAGTGTATCTTATAATATTTGCATCTGTTTATAATCATTATAATAATTAAACATGCTATTGCATTAGATATTAAACCTAACGCTGTTAACGTTATTTAAACACGTGGTCCATTGTTAAGCCATTCTCTGATAAGGTCTCAGCCGTTTAGAAATCAATAACAGTGTCATGTGCCTTTAAGACGCCAGTCAGGGTGGACCCAACGTCGGCGTTAGACGCTCAGGAAGTGGATTAAACCACCAAAGATTCCCGCAGATTCGATACCGATTGTCCCAATGTTAGATACGTGTTCGTGCTAACCTGAACGTTTGGCCGAGCACGTTTATGGGCTATTTAGGACGATAATGCTGGATGGTTGCGCTCATGAAAATCACCAGGGATATATGCAGGCTGTTGGGACTCGGGAGCGGTAAGAATTCTCTTCCACTTTTCGAAACTTTCTAAACTGGTTAGATCGATCACGGACGTAATAACGAAACGCGTGTGACACGGCACATTTGGAGGACGGCTAACTCGTGAATTACATAAACGACGTGATTGTGATATTGCTTCCCATTTGTGTTATCCTAGTGATCAAACTGAGCTCTTGGTCAAACAATGAAACTTCTCTTGGCAGTTACACCCTCGCCTGTACCGCTTCCAAGTTTGCGCAGTAAAAAAAAAAAAAGGAAAGAGTTCTCAGAAAATCCAAAACGCTCTCTTACACTTTCTCGCTCACGAAGCAAATAGTTATAAAGTTTACAAGCTGAAGTACACCATGTATAAAAGACAGAGATAAAGTAATGTGTGCTATAAAAAAGCAAAACAAAGATAAATGCATTCTTCGGTGCGTGTTAGTGTGATAACAATGTCTTAGATAGGGGCACATGCCCCACAGCACAGAACGAGTTTATACGCAGATTGAAAGTATTGTATGAGCTTAAAACATGTCTTTAAATAACGTGTTATGTTCCCACATGTTCCTCTTCTTCGCTTAACATGTTAACAGGTTGGCTTATGTGTGGCTCCTCTCTACAGCTGCTGATCTACACACCTTCATCGACATTTAAAAACTTTTAGGCATGCCTTGCCAACTTTAGCATTACTTAGTATTTGAGTACACATCTGGTGTGAGTAATCCTATTAGCATTTATGGAAAGCGTGGGAATATTAGATGAGAAATACACACAAACAAAATGGGATGAATAAAGTATGTGTTGTAGCAGGCAGCAGTTTCAAATTATGTTTATTTCTTAATATATGAATGTGGGAATTCCCGAGTTTATCATCCAAAAGTAGGGAAATATCTATTTGCAAAAGAGACTGGTTTGCATTCCTTCATTCTTAGATCCAGATCCATACACCTCTGTGAAGGTGTAATAAAGAGCTTAGATACTACAGAACAGTGAAAGATTTCTAGCATTTTTTTAACAGTGTCAGTTAGTAATCTCACTGATGAAGCAGTTCAGTTAAAGTGCTATAGACTTGGTTTCCTGCCACTCCAACCATTACTGGCTTTGCAGTGGTAGTGTGAGAGTCTGTAGGTGGTGCATATGCTTAATTCTCGTAACTGTTCCCAGAGTGAAGGTGTGGATAAAAAGCCATACCTGGAGAGGTGAACGAGGGTCATTGTGGTTATAGACTGCTGCGTCAATTTTTCTTTTAGCTGTAATAGTGATTCTGTATTGTTCAGAGCTCTCTGTTAGCATTTTAGAGGAGGTGGCACTCTCCACCTTTTACTTTTTATCTTTTTTGCTAACACTTTTTTTGTGTGCTCACATAACTTTTATGCCAGTACACAGTAGGGTTATGTTGAACCTGCTAATGCAAAGAAAGCTTTGCTGTGTCAAACTGGCTTTGTAGTGTACCTCCCCTGAGATCTTTAATGATTTTTCTTCTGTTGATTTCTGATGTAATGCAGTTGTCTTCACTCAGTCTCACGCAGAACATTTGTGCCTCGCAGCCATGTACTCTGCAAAAAACAAAACGTGTGATTGTTTCTATTTCCTACATTGTTTACATGTTTCTGTGTTTAACTGGTTTACACAACCACTTAAAACCACTGGCATATGATTAAGCAGTGCCTGTTTGAATAATAAGGTCATGCTTTCGTGAAGAAAAGTGTGGACCTGTGCAGTTTATTTTCTTGTTAGTCCTCCAGCCTGTGATGGTACGTGATTATTTAGCATTCCTGTGGAAAGAGCTCACCTTTCAGCTGTACACTAATTTAGGAAATTTCCTTGAAGTGAAGAAACAGAGGCTCTCTTGTTGCTCGTGTCTACCGATCTTGTATCACTTGTGTTTTTGGAGGACATTCCAGTATGGTAAAAATTTTTACCAACGGCCTGGTTCAAATGAGATGGAGTTGTTAACAGTGCTTATTTCTTGACATTTGAGCAGTGAGTCAGGCGCACACAACTGAAATTCCTTGCTGTCACTATGCATCCTTGGAGGCGCATTGTGATGACAGACTGGCTCTTTAACAAAGCCAGTGAGAGACATTTATATGTGAAGACACCCCCCCCCCCGGATGTACTTGAATTCACATGGAATTCCAATTCCATACAATTACAGTGACTTTTATTTTCCTATGTTTTTTACATATTGTTTAAAATATGGACAGCACCACTAAAGGACAGGCATACACAGAATCAGGAAGTTGAGTAGCTACTTGGTGTGTCTAGTTTTGTTGTATGAAATTCATAACAGTTGAATGTAAAGTGTAAAACTCTCCTGTCAATGCTTCACAAGTCACAACATGAGTAAGAGACCAAGTATGGGATTTGTCACTCTCTGGAAATCTTTGCTCATCAAATAGAAACATGACACCACATGTATTCCGGCGTAGTCCACTACTTTGCTTCCTTTTGTCTTGTCGTGTGTCTGCTGCAGTTTGACCTAAACGACTACAGTTTTGGCTTGATCAAATAAGCTGCCCCCCCTCCCCCAAGCGTATGTACACAAAATCCCACATTTAGAGCAGTGGCTTTCCTTTTTTCCCCTCTTCTCAGTACTCCAGCTTCTCAGAAAGCAGTACTCAGGGCAGCTGTATGTGTTGTGTGGCGGGCTTGTGGCAGTGCTAAAGATAATTATTACTAAATGCCTCTCAAAGAAACAACCTGATTTGGCGTCTCTGAGCAATTTTCAGTTCTGTTTCCTTTATTTTATTTTACATGCTTTTCCTGGTGGTTCATATAAGAAAGGATTACATAATCCTTCCTGTCTCCACCCAGTGTTGTTTAAAAATTTGGCACATCATCACTGGTCATTGTGGTTAGACCGGAATATAAATGAGACAGGCTAACCTAACACACAGAGGACTCTTTAATATAACACATTAAGGTAACTTGAAAATGTTGGAACAGAGTTTTTGTACTCTCCTTTGCTGCACGGGATGCCTGCTGCTTGCTTTTAACCTTTTCTTGGTTGATAGAGGCTGAAATGAGTAAAGGAAAGAGAAGCGTGCGGTCATATTAAACGATGGTTCTGCCCATCTCGTCTCATATTACACTATGCATTTTCACAGAAAGTCTTTTCCCTTTTCCCCTGACAGGGAAGGAAATTTTAAATGGCGTGTCAAGCTATGTTGCTGAGTGGGGTGGTGGGGAAGAAAAGTGTGTCCTTATCTAGCTACATTCTGATGATTATTATTTTTTAATACAGTATGGCTCATAGGAACAAGAGTGTAGCTGTTTCTTTAAAAAAAAAAAAAAAAAGATTTCATTTTGTGTATTTCCTGAAGGTCCTGTGGTCCAGGAGGAGCAGATGGACTGTGGTGCTACAAACCCTGACCCAAGTGCCACCATTGCGCAGGTAAACAATTGGTGTCAGGCTCACAGGACCTAGTGAGGACTGTAAGGGTGAGGACATTAATGATCCATTTCTCTGAATGTTTGGTTTTCTAGGATGCATTAAATGGAGAGGAGGAGTTGAGTGATGAGGAGAAAGCAAGACGGAAGGCAGAGCGACGCAAAGCCAAGAGGAAGGTGAGAGGAAAAGCCTATCTTGCTGGAAATCTATATGTCAAAGGATGTCATTCGTTTTCTGAAGTGTACCTGTGCATCCATTTCAGCGCCGTCGAAAACGTAAGAAGCAGGAGCAAAATAAGCAAAATCACAATGCTGAACAGGTAAAGATTTTAATATTCCCCTTGGAAGCGCACCCTCCTTTAGCCTCTGTGGGGTGAAAATCTAAATATTCAGCTCTTCCTCCACATTAGGATGACGAAGAGGATGGAGGTGCAGAATCTGAACTAGACGAGAGCGATTCCGAAGCAGAAGTTGGGGGTGAAGACGAGAAACAAAGGGCGCAGAAAGAAGAGGAGGGGAAATCGGAGGCCTGCTCTAAAGATCTTGCTACTCCTGCTATTGCTCCTTCAGGATATCAGGAGACCCAAGCCAGATCTGCTGAGGAGGTTGGGGCACTACACTAGTTTATTATTCATGTGTGAATAAGCCATTGTTTTTATTTTTAGTCATTAGCTATCATCACAGGCCTCAAGACAATGAATTAATAGAAGCGTTTCAAGTGAAAGCCTGTGTGCTTGTAGGCCTGGATGGCACATGATTTAACACTAGTGTCTGACTTTGTGTCCCACAGGAGCCAGAGTGGGATGTCAGCAGTGCCTTCTTTGCAAATGCTGCTAGCCATATCAAACCCAAAGGATCAAGTCGAAAGTCCAAAGAAAACAAGGAGAATGAAGCCAGGAGAGAGGTGAATGCTAACAGATGGTCTAAGAGAAGCAGCTATAGCAAAAACGCCCATATATAATAGTTCTTGCTGAGGTGGTGTTCCTGTGTTAGTTCAAAGTCTGATATGTGGGGAAAGTGGACTATGGACCATGAAAGATTTGATGAAAGCTGTGTGTGTGTTTGTAGTGTAAATACACATTTTCATGAGTATAAAGTGATGAAAATGATATATATACTTTTTTTTTTCTTCTTTGTTTTGTTCAGACAAATGGAACTGACACCATGACCAAGAAAAGTGCATCACTGACAGGTAAAGAATTGAAACTTTAAAAGTTATTCATGGAAATGGAAACAAAGGCTTCGAGGACATTGATTACACATTCATTCTGAAAGCTTGTCAGCATACAGCACTGCGGTCATTTGAGCCTTTGGGAATGTTTAAAAACAAATCTTTATGTCCTGCAGAAAAAGGGATAAAGCTGGTGCAAGAGGGGCAGTATGCACAAGCAGCCAGTATGTTTACAGAAGCCATAAAATGTGATCCCAAAGATTACAGGTACAGCTTCTGTGGTCACGACTTGGGCATTACAAAAGAAATGCACATTTCACATAATATTAATTCATTTATTTATTAATTTTTTTAATGTCGTGTAGATTCTTTGGGAATCGCTCTTATTGCTATTACTGCTTGGAGCAGTATCCTCAGGCCCTGGCAGATGCTGAACGCTCCATTCAGCTGGCCCCAGACTGGCCCAAAGGATACTTCCGCAAGGGCAGTGCCCTCATGGGCATGAAGGTTGGTACAAGCTTGTAATAGCTTGTAGTCGAGTAAATAATCTACCGAAAAAGCGTTAAGCATTAGTGTTAACTCACTCACTCTGTGTGTGTTGTAGCGGTACAGTGAGGCAGAAAAGGCTATGGAGCAGGTGCTGAAGCTGGACAAAGACTGCGAGGAGGCTGTCAATAATCTATTTAACTGCAAAGTGCTGCAGTTAATGGTAACGCCTACACACAAAAGCTCTGTAGATGTGACACGTATTATTTGTATGCCTTCTCCCAATGACAGCTGTGACCCAAGGAAGTGCTTTTTTTCTTTCAAGTTCCTCTTTTCCACTATTAGAGGCATTTTGGCACAAACATTTGCTCGATGAGCCGACTGGAATTTTGGTGTCAAGGTCACAGTGAACTAAAATCAGTCTACTTCTTGTTAGTCTGTTGTATTAGGATTGCTTTAAAGGGATTTTTTTTTTTTTTGGTAAACATTTGGCACATTTACTCACACTTGGCAATGAACTGCTTGGATTCTGTACTCAGAGGTTAAGGTCGCTGTGACCACCTCAACACACAATTTATTTATTTTTTTATTTTTGCCATAACTAAGAAATGGATAAGATGCCATAAAGCCATAATGTTCAAGGATCAAGTGTACACAGCCATGGTTGTAAAGTCTCTGCCAAATGGCAGACGGATGGCATACACCCTTGTGGTGGTAATTTGAGTTTCTCTCTTTCTTCCTCAGGAACTGGGCTTTGAAGAAGTGCAGAGTGTCTTGCTGTTAGATAGATTTTCAACAGTGCAGGGTGTTCTGGCATATTATTCTGAAGCAGCCAAAAGTAAGGCCAAAAAAATGACCAACAGTTTTTCTTCTGGATCAAATAAGTTTAAAGCAAAAATCATACAACTGATTTTCCGATGTATTCTCTTGTTGATGCTTTTTCTTTCCTCAGCAGCAGCTGGGAGCACAGATTCATCTGTTGTGCAACCAGGGTAGGTGACTGTAATTGAGCAGTCAAAAATAGAGTTGTTGATGAATTAGATTTTTTTTTCTTTTTTTTTTTTTTTTTTTTTTTTAAAAGCACTCTTGGTGACATTCTCTCTCTTGCAGAACTCCCTGTCAATCCCTCTGGGTGGGAAATGTGACAACTGAATTAACTGAGAAACACTTAAGGGACCTTTTTAAAATGTAAGATCCTATTCTGGTACAAAATGTTATCATTTAAACACAATATCCCTATACGAAAAATGTGGGGAGCTAAGTTAAAACTGCAGTTGTTGACTGGTCTGCTTGTGTCTCCTTGTATTGAAGGTATGGTGAAATTGAGAGTATCCGTGTGCTGCATGAGAGATTCTGTGCCTTCGTTAACTTCAGGGATGCAAGCATGGCTGCTCGTGCCATGGAGAAACTAAATGTAAGTGCGTTTTTGTTGTTTTGTTGTTTCTCCTTTGTCAGCATTATTATTTTCATAGCACCAGTTATTGCCATGGGGTTAGATGTGTATATGTGCTTGCTGTCACAGGGTCACTGTATTGAAAACACTCGTTTAGTGGTGCGCTATCCTGACCGCCGCACTCAGAGGTCCCTTCCTATTCCACTCAAGACTTGCCTCCCTGTCACACAGCAGGGAGGCACAGCTGCTGGGTGAGACGCTAACTGGCTGCTCTTTTAAAAACTCTAGTTAAGAAAAATAATAATAATGATGATGATAATAATCATGCAACAGGACTGCAGTTTTATAACTAATGTGCAACCTGTATGTCTCTACCCAGACCCCGAAGACGCGGCCCGGTTAACGGAGATGAGTGTTACTTCTGGAGAACCACTGGCTGCCATTTTGGGGAGAAATGTCGCTACAAACACATTCCTGATCAGAAGGGCAAGGACAGGAAACCTTGGCAGCCTTGAACACAGTTTACTCTCTGCCTCATTACTGAAAAAAGAAACCGGGATACGCCGACTGTGCCAATGGGACTGGTTCTTGCCGCACAAGGTTCTCTGGGCTAAAAATATTTACTGTGGCAGACTGGATAAGAATGGCTAAAGGTTCAGAGCCAGCATTCAGGTTCTACTGGAGGGGGGGTAGTCACATGTACCACAAAGGATTTGGACCATGAAGGTTTATATTCTAACGAAAGCCCAGAGTGGATAATTTTTTTTTTTTTTTTTTTTAGTAATAGAAGTTTATCTAGAAGAGGGCAACAAAACCAGCTGGTACAGCTTTTGAATAAAAACCGTCATATTCACAGCCTTTTATGGGACATGGGATTTTATTCTTTCTTCTAAGAGGAAGAACCTAACACTTCAAGCAAACAACATAAAGAGGACGTGAAACTGCCTTTGTCTGTCATCCGAAGAAAACTAAAAGCTCTGCCATGTATGGTAGTAATGAAAGGAATACATGTGGATGTCGTTGTCTTTGGGACTTTCCTTCTTTGGAAATTTCCGTCACAAACCAGTGTCTCCCCCCCCCCCCCCCCCCCCTTTTTTTTTTTTTTTTTTTTTTTTCTAAGTAAAATTTAATTGCCATATTCTAACTATTGAGGCATATCCCATGCCCCAAACAGCTCATAGCTCGCTTAGGTCTGCAGTTATTGCTGGGGCTTCATTCCTACTTGTTCATGTTCCAGTACTGAAACATTGTTCATGATACCAAAGACATACCTGACATTTAAGTACCTCACCTATGCAGATGAGGATTTTTGTCTTGCCAATAAGCTACAGAAACCCAGAGGCGATGCCCTTTTGCCCTATGTAGCCTTACAAATGATCTTATGTGGGCGAGTGATTATAAATACAATGATTTGACTTGAAGGACTGCAAAGTTCTATGCATCAGTGCATGGATTAGGTTTATATTCAACTTTAGGTTTATTTTCACCAGTTGGCTGTTTTTTTTGTTTTTGAAAGATTGAATGGTTTCACTGCAGGAGTTTTCTTGACATGTTAGTTGAGATTCCTTGTCCATAGAAAAAGTAAAAGCAACACTTGACGTAATGTAAATGCTGCTTTTATAAAGGCTGTAGTCTTTAGTTTTATTTTTGTTTGTTTTTTTTAGTCTGTCTCCAAGATGGATTTTTAACCTCTTGGCAATTTTAAGCCCAAAATGTTTGATGTTCGGAATTGCATGAAGCTTCTGTTGTGAAGTGCTTCCGTGCTGCAGACTTGTCTCTGCTTTGTGGACTGCAGGAGATCTGTTTTGTGGACCCAATTCAAACGTCAAACCTTTGGTGTTGTTGTTATCGTTGTTGTTGTTATCGTTGTTGTTGTTATTATTATTATTATTACTTTTTCTCAGCAGGAGAATGTTCTTCTTGCTTTGTTGGTACATTTGCATTGTAAACATGCAAAGTTCTTTACATCTATGCAAAAAGTCCTGAACTGATTGTCAGTTCTGTGTCAGAAATACACACCACTTCTTGAAAAGAGGAAAAAAAATAGTAATGTACGCACACAGTTTAAAATCATACACTTATTGTTTGAACCTTGAAAACCAGTGTTTTAAAGTTTTGGACCTCCTATTTCAGTATTTTAGTGAACTGAAGGATCTGATGGGTCTGCATTAACACGGCCTCATTCTTTCAATAGTTTTAACACTAGACCGTGCATTAAAGCCTATTAGCATCTGTTTGTGTCATTTAGTAGAAAACAGATCTTGTTTAAGTCCACACTACGTTCACTTGTAAACTATGCATAGCAGTATTTATTTTTCTATTTATACTTTTTTTTTTCCCCCCCATGTTTCCTGTATTCAACATATCCTGGGAACTGAATTTACCTTTTATTTACTGGCCATATTGTCTTTTCACTTTCTGGCCAGTTAATGAACCTCTTTCAGGTCTCTGCTGCTTAGTTCTGGCTTTAAGAGCAAACTTTAAAAAAAAAAAAAAAGGTGCAAATACTGTCACATGCCGCGCTTCTGCTTTTCTTGTGTTGCTTTCGGTCTTGTGGCTGGAACTAGTGAAAAAGGAATTGGACACCAAAAGTTAAGAGTGCATTTGTCTGTTTGGCCCACTTGCTCAGTGCTTTTTGTGATCTCAGCTGTTAACTACGGTTTCATATTCCACTTAATTTTATAGATAAGTTGTGTTTTGTTTTTTGTTAAACTAGAATATTTTTAATTGAATAAATATTTCACACGAGAAAGAATTTTATTTTAATGCTTGTTTAGAGTATGCTTAGTCTCTTTACCTTGTTTCAAACTATTTCAGCAAAATGTGTTTCTGATTATACAATACACATTTATAAACAGAGCACTGCAACCTAATCTCTACAATATTTTGTATTATCATTACTGCACAGTTTTAAAAAAAAAAAAAAAAAAAAAGAGGGGGGGAAGTTTTTTTTTGTTTTTGTTTTTTAATAAAGGAATTTGAACCACCTATCCCACCTTTCTGAGTGTCTACATGAGTAATGAGATCAACTGGTGGGGGTGGAGGGAGGAATACCAGAGGTATGTACTTAGTGCCTTCCACAAGGTGGCAGAGTTGTACTTGTAAGCTTTTCACTGACGTACAATCATCAACATGACCATCCTTTTGCCTCAGTTGGACCTCCAGAAACCAACATGTAAATTTGAGTCATTCCTCTTCCTGGAAACCAAAACCATGACATGGTAAATCTAATCGGGCCAGGCTGGAGTGGGGAAACTATGGTAACCATCTCATCATTAGTAGGAGACCTTTACATGGCGAACATTACATTTAGACCAGTGGGAAGTCACGATTGCACTAAGGAAGTGTATGTGTTTTGTGGTGGTGGTAGGGGGGGCATTATCATTATGTAACTGATGACATTTTTAATAGAGGAACTGAGCCTGATGCCACCGATAACTTAAACTGCAAAATTAAAATGACTCATATGTTCAAGGTTTATTAGGATGAGTAGTACTCAGGGTGCAGTAACAGTTGTTATAATGCATTTAAGAGTTTTTGAGGCAACCCTGACAAAGTGAGGTTATATCAGCTTTGGCAAAAAGACATTTTCAGGGAAATCTTGTGTCCCAAGAGTTTTACTCATTTTAGGATCCTAACTGAGTGAGAAGTACTAGCATAGAATCTCTAAATACTTAGAAAGGAAGGACTGGTGTTTTCTTTCTTACCACAAGACACAATGGACCATAGTGACACTGTTACAAAAACAAATGATCAAAATAACTGAGAAGTGATCATATCATGTAAACAGCAGCATTTTCCATCTGAAGCCACAATTTGCTAATGCAGAATATGCATTTGATTTCCAATAATTTGTTGAACCCAAAGGTGAACATTACAGTACAGCAATTTATTAAAGTCTGCTTGTTATGAAGTTGTTGGCCCCTGTGAAGGACTTTCTAATGCGGGTTTAAAAAAAAAAAAAAGACATCAGTATTAAACTTGTCAGTGTGTTGTTGTCTTATAACTCAGTTACTCTTTTTGGGCATTGCTGTATTTCCAGTCTTTAGGATTACTAACAATTTTTTTTGGGACATTGGGACAGTGTGGTTTCAATGCAATAGATCCATGTCAGCAACATCTGTAATTACATTATTAAGTAGTCTAGAACATGACAAGTTGGACTGGAGTCCTTATGAATTCTCATTTGCATCTTTTCTTGACATCATGATTTTCTTTGAGGCCAAGAAAAAGTTATTAGGAGACGACAAAGAAGTTAATGATATCCTGAAATTTTAAATTCCCCTAATTGTATCAATTATATCAATGTAGAGTACCCACTTAAAACTGTCGTTTTTAGCTGTATGAATGTCTGAAAATGATTTTCTTTCTTACAAGAGATTTAACCTAAATCTGTCGAGCATCAAATTTGACCTACTTTTAAATCATCGCACTTACCATTTTTCATTCCATGCAAACATGGCCTTAGTACTGAAGTCAGCCTATATTTAGCTTTCTGTACTCTCAACCCCACAACCTGTACAGCCCATACTCTATACATTATGAGCAGAGGCCTACACGCGCCTGTCGCCAGCTAAAAGTAAAAACGTTACGAAAGCCTGGAGAGACGGCAATGGGGGTGAACATGAGGAGGTGCTGTCATTTGAAAAGGCACTTGTTTATTGTTGGAGAGCATGTATTTATTTCATGCCTCCACAGATTGTGGGTAAGGGCAGAGCCGACTCGGTCGCTGTAATTAGAGAGGTGAAGGGAGAGAGAGAGTGCTCTGCCACAGAGACCTGCTTCACTCAAATATTCATAGTCCTATGAGAGCTGTGTAACACTCTCACTAGCACACCCCCCCAATGAAAGTATTGGCACATAGGGAGGGAAACCTGTCTAGTCTGGTTTAATTAGTCTGATATGCAATCATGCATCATAAATTATAATGAAAGGATGCCGCGCTCAGCAGCAAGTTTTATTTTTTAACCTAAGTAAACCCCTATTTCCTTTTTCCTTTTCTTCTTTTACGTCTCTTTTTCGTCTCTGTCGGCCTTGGAGGTCCCTCTGATTTGGCCCCGCTAATAGGGGGTCTGCTCTTCCTGTTCAGTTTTACCAGTCAGGGAGGGACCTCCATTTCGCCACCCAGTCACACCATCTCTAGCACACACAAACATTTCAATTATAGCATCAGTGGTTACATGTGAACACATGAATAGGCGCACATTGTAAGGAACGTGTCAATCCTTTTGAGCTTGCTGGAAATCTGCATACGGCGTTTTTTACGGTTGGGCTTGATGTTTTGGTTCCTAACCCTCTTGTTATAACTGAAATTTTTCATGTCTATGAATAAACCTTGCTCCCCTGAAAAACATGCCCACCAACATTTATTTAAAAAGTGAAAAAGGGTTTATCAACAAAACACCTCGAGGCTAAAAATTTCCATACAGCTAAATTTATCCCCAATCTTCCCAAAAATGACTCAAGAAATAAATAAACAGGTTTCAGACCTGCAAACCAATAGTACACATGTGGGAGAAACCTAAACCCAAATCAGGACCGAGCATGAAGTGTTTAAAAGCCATAAACTGAACATTTTCCCTTTCTTCTGGATCTACACTGATGGGTTAAAGCTTTATGCTTTCTACACCATGATGATAGGTTAGACTATAGTAACATACTCCTGGTCAAGGGTGGTATGGCGTATTCTCATCAGTCACGTTCACCATGGCTATGGTAGGGCTGGGACTATTTTAGATTTGGTGGTTTGTGGCCATCTCAACAAGGAAATATCTACC